TCTCCCCAGAGCCCGCGCTAAGCGATTCCCACAGCGTGAGGGGAAACGGGGCCTCACCCCCACGTTTATCCGTTAGGATTTTGACATTTGGACGGCTGAATGGAACCGGCGCTTCCTGAGCCACAGAAACGTATCTGCCCTCAGAGGTGCGCGCCCTCCTGCCGGGGACCCAAACCCCACGCGCTCGGCAGCGCGGTTTCCACAACTAACGCACGCAACCGTCACCCTCGGGGGAATGCCACCCTAACAAAGCCAAAGCCACCATGGAAAGCAGCTGCAGCCGCCTTTGGTGTGCACGTTTCACACAGTTCTTTCCTAAGGAAGAATCCAAAACGCTGCTGCCTTTCATTTTTCTCGTCAGTACCTTGCCAGCCGAATCGGGAGAGGCACGACGCTGCAGCAGGAGTTTTGCCACTTCCAGGCTCCCGTATTTGGCCGCCACATGCAAAGGGGTGAATCCCTTCTGAAAAGTTCCAGGAGATAAAAAACAGATGTTTGCATTACAGGTCATGCCGACATCTCTCATTTAAGAACTACGTATTAAAGCCCTTACTCTTCAAGCTATATTCTAGCTGGCAGAATCAACAGCCGTACCTAGAAAGAGCATCATCTCTTGAAAGCACTTTGAGAAGGATGAAATACAAGAAAATACTTTCCCTTTTATTATTCTTCCCTATGTACGTGCTGTCAGGGTAGCAGGCATTTTATCTGATACAGACTCTACTAACAACATACGCTGCGTGTGTGGGCAATGAAGGCACTTGTTCAAATTTCCACTCCAAACCAGCTGCACTTTTTAGTTTCGTGATGACAGCTTTAGAAATACTTCCTGTACCAATTGTTGCCAGTAACAATGAAACACCAACTAAATTCAGTGAGAAAAGCTCCAAACTTCGTAATCCTCCTTTAGAGTTTGTTGCAGAATGATTTATATTTGGACTCATGTGTCCATACAGTCACTAAGTTCTCCTGCGGTCTCTGAACTGCAGCTAAAAAAAGTCATGCCTGACTCAATGGCAGTGCTTTTGGAAACACATTGTGGCAAGACTAAAAATCTTGTCTTTTAAAAGGAGTCCTTTTCTATTTGTTTTAATAATGCTTGTCAGTACGGCACAGGTGTAAGGTCTATGTCAAACTAACATGCTCTTTGCCTGTTCTTCTAATTTAAAAAAACATGTTGATAAGGAAAATTCATGGATGCAAGACAGCAGGTGGCAGACCGCGCCGCTGCCCTGACAGTAACTCCGGGGAGCTACAATGACCTATTTGCCTGACACATAAGTGATGTGTAATGTTTATTATCATTATCGTCTTGTTCCATTAATCCCACCTCAAAAAGAGATTACGTCACGGAATCGCAAACGTTTCCGGTTCATGAATCACAGGTTTGTAGAGAGATTATCTAGTGGACTACATCTTCTTCTATTCATAATTATAGAATGTTCCTGCTGTACTAAAGCAATTGCCATAAAGCAATATAGGAAATTAGGAAAGTATTTAGTGTATTTTTAGCCATTTTAATGTGATTTAACAGCTGGATAAAAGGAGAACAGCAAGCACTCCCAGTAATCCGTGGATCGTAATTTGAAAATTGCTGGCTTAGTCTTCTAAAACCTGGAAGATACCCCATTGTTCAAAAATATGTTTTAAGCTCCAGCTGTAAAATCAGGGGTACTTTTTCCAAGACTTAAAACAATAGTGAGAATTAAGTCATTCTCATTTAATCACATGCAATAAATTTGGAAAACATATCTTGGCACATAATTCTATTTACAGCTATCTACTTTCTTACATGTTCATCACTCTGTTAAGAATCTGTTGGTAAACATTTTTGGCTAACAAAACAATAATGATTCTGCAGACTATTTCTTTTATAACCCCAGACAAAATGGCCTATTGTGTCATATGACACCTCATTTATAGAACCACTGAAAATAGATTCAGCATTAGATGCGACTGGACAGATGCTGATTTGTATGCTTTAGGAACATTCCTTTCAGCTAGCACAGACCAGAATTATTTTCCTATTTAAATAAACGAGGTATTGAAGAATACACAGGCCTGTTCATTAAAAAAGTGTTGTCGTCATCCCCTCTTCTTTTTTGAAAATTTTGGCCAAAAAGCCCTACCCATAACACAATGGGAAAGAGACAAACAAGGACTTCATGTACATTTTAGACCTGTCAAGACTGTGTATTTATCACGATCTGCATTTGGCTCCAGTGGGAATCAAACTCCCAACTTTAGGTGACAGCAAAATATGTCAAAATTTGATTAACTTCTGATACATTACTTCGGTCTATTGGATCGCTGTTGATTAAATAAGAACAAAAGACCCAAACTAGTTCAATTTGTCAGTGTGAAAGTACATTCCTCGCGGAACAGGCGTGCGCTGGCATGCGCCGCCTGTGCTACTGGAATAGAGACGTAAAGCGTTTTGTCTTACTTTGGTGGACATGGAGTGCGAGGCACCTGCCTCTAAGAGAACTGATGCGACATCAACTTGTCCCTCTCTGGCGGAGATGTGCAGTGGAGTGTACCCATTAGTTGTTGCGGCATCAGGGTGGGCCATGTGCTGTAGCAGAAGTTGGACGATCTCCGTTTTACCCAAGCGAGAAGCAATGTGCAATGGAGTCTGTTCTTCCTACAACTCAAATCGAGTAGATAATCAGCGCAGGTAGAACCACCCTGAACACAATATTCTGGTTGATTCCAACAGATTTATTTATGCATTTGCCTTGTAAAAATCGTAGGAAGTAATAGTACAAAAAAAGGCAGAAACGGAGCGCTTGCGGGTTAATTTTTGCAGTAAGCTTCAGCAATGACTTAGAACAGAGAGAACTATGAAGAAAAACATTGTTTTTTCCTTTTATCAAGCAGATAGCGCACATCACTGTGAGCATCCATTGCTCTCCTTTGTGTTCTTAATTTGTTTTACAACAGCTGTACCTTGCTTTACAAACAGTCCCCTTGGTTTCAAAATCTGGCACCAACTGCTATCAGAACCTCTGATCTTTGGTTTTAGGACACAGCTGTGCACCTCCTTGCTCAGACAGAATAGCTGTTGCTGGTCTGAGTCAGGCACATTGTCCTGGGTCTAGCCGGGAAGGAGTTAATTTTCATCACAGCAGCCCGCGTGGTGCTGTTCTAGATTTCTGACCAAGACAGTGTTGGTAACACACCAGTGTTTTAGCTGTTGCTGAACAGTGCTTACACAGCGCCAAGGCTTTCTGTGTTTCTCCCTCTGCGCCCCCAGGGAATAGGCTGGGGGTAAGCAAGAGGCCGAGAGGGGACACAGCCAGGACAGCGGTGTCCGAATTGACCGAAGAGATAATCCATACTGTATAACGTCATGCTCAGCAGTAAAACTAGGGGGTGAGTTTTTCTAAAGGAGCCGTTGCTCGGAGACTGGTTGGGCACTGGTCTGCTTGTGGGAGGTGGTGAGTGATTGCCTTTGCATCACTTGTGGCGGGGAGGAGTTGGTTTTGTGGGGTTTTTCCTCTTTCTCCTTCACCTATTAAATTGTCTTTATATCAACCCAAGAGATTGTCTTGGTTTTGCCCTTCCAGTTCTCCACCCCGTCCTGCTGCAGGGGCAGTGAGAGAACGACTGAGCGGGGCTGAGCTGCCGGCCGGGGTCAGCCCACCACACACATTCTCTTTGGAAGATCTACACATAAATACATTACTGTTTTCAGAACTGTTTTCAGGTGTGCTTAATACTGAATCAACAGATCACATAAAAATGAAATTGCTCCTCTGCTTCAGCTATGTTTTTGAGTAAGAGAAAGCAAAAAAAAATTGTAAGCAGAACACCTACCCTGGCTCGGGCATCAACCAGGGCCCCGTTTCTCAGGAGGCAGCGAACGACTTCCACCTGCCCAGCACGTGCCGCCATGTGCAATGCAGTTTCTCCACGCTGCAGAAAAGCAAAAGCGTTTCAGTGTCTAAACCTCCGTGAAGAAAGAGAGCTCCGACGGTGTAAATTCCACCCACGTCAACTCGTGCAGAGACCTGCTTTTCCGCCAGCTGAGAATCTGGCTTCAGACCCGGTAACGGGCATACATGTCGCTGGACCCGGGTACGCTTTGGTTTGCAGACTGATCCCAGACAAACGTAATCTCACTACAGAGGGTCAGAATGAAAATCCTGGCTTATAGAAAATTCTGCCGTATAGACTCCCCTGGTCACATATGTTCCTCAGTTTTCTACTGATGCAACAGTGCATCAGCTTGTGTGCCGCACAGGAGATAAGAGTATATTGAGCCTGTCGCTCTCAAGGGATTGCGAGGCACACGAGCCTCAAGATGGAAGGGGATATTTTTCCAGATGGTCTCTTCCTGCACACTGTGTGGAGCTGGCAGCATTAAAAGGCCTTGCAGTGGCTGTGCACAACTGAGCCAGCATATGAAATGTGTAAAATCTGTGCTCAGCAGCGTGGCTCTGTCTGCAGGCTATGGAGTAAATCTTGTTTCAAGCTTTTTGTAGCCCACAGAATTTGAAGGAGAATATGAAATTTTGGAAAGCGACTGGAGTGATATGGAATTTCAGGATCAGGATAACGAAGTACAGATGATACATTCAAAGCATTTATTTTTTGCATAGGTTTGCAAAGGAACACTGAAAGTAAGTATTCCTTGACAACGGCATTTCTAGCTTAATTTTGCACTGTCCAACATTCTTTGAGGGCACTGTCCTAAAGCGGACTAAAACAGTCCCTGTGCAGCTCATCGGTATCTGCTACATTAGGTACTGGGACAGCTCCGCAGCCAGGAGCTCTGTATTTCTCTGTTATGACAACACAGCAGGACTGATCACTTCTTTGTGTTAATTGCTCCTTCTCCTTACTCTAGAGCTGGAGTATATTCTATTGTAAGGCTTTTACCCCCACGACTGTCAAGTTAAACTGCAGTTGCCAAAATGAACACTGTAGTCAACATCTTTTGCATCAGAATCGGGAGTCATGCCTTCTTGTCCCTCGTCTAGATGTAGGGAAAGAAGCAGCCTGAGCTCACCTACTATAATGAACTTCTAATTAAAGCAAACCCTCTTCACCAGGAGTTGATTTATCTTGTCATTTTAAAATTAACATTGTATTACCAGCTGTGATTAGTAAGTAGGCAACAAACAAAATCCCACAGCCCTAGCTACAAATCTTAATAGAGAATTTTATCTATATAAACTTTATTACCTGAAGAATGAGCTGTTTAAAATGTGAATAAAGTTTACATTTCACACACTCTAAAGATCAAATTTCTATAAAGACCCTTTTGTACTTGAATTAGCAAAGCAATTTAGCTGTTGGAAACAGTTAGTAGTTCAACAGGGAACTTTATCTTACCAAGTAAAAGCCAAGACACCTGTGTAGCATAAATTGTAAAGTGTTAAACTTTGCACACAGATGTCCGGTAACACAATACTTTTAATTGCTTCCACAAGAATTTCTTGTTGGCTTTCATATAAAGTTTTTATATAAAGATTGCTTCTACAAAAAAAGTATTAAAGCAGTAAGTGACTGTCAAGAAAAGTCTGTTCTAGCGATTCAAGTAAACAACTCTGTGTGCTCAACGTTTTCACTAGGTTCCATGTAAGATTTTTCTAACTGAGAAAAACTGATGAGTTCAGTGTACCCGGATTACTAAACTTTTGTTGTTGTTTTGCTGTTGGGAACACTTATCTATAACATCATTTACTGGTAAAAAGCTGCTTTCAAAGTGCAGGTGGTCATAAGTTGAATATTTGTTTATACTGACAAATTGAATAGATATCTATGAAATACAGCTCAGAAAACTATCGTGTTCTTTTTATTGCTGTTGTTCTTGGTAACCAGGCTATTGGTATACAAACACTGCTTTCTATGGTAAGTCAGGTTCTGCATTTTGTGTTACCTCCCAAAGGTCACATTTTCTACATTTAAGCATGTTCTTTTAAAAGGCACCAGTTCCTGGAATTTCCTGTATAAGAGGAACATCTTGATTTAACATTTTTATTTTTTGTTTAATTGTTAGGCTTTAAGCGTTTTATACCCTTTCACTGATACAAACGACACAATTTTATGGCAGCCGGTGAAGCTATGCAAGCAGAAATTAGAGCCATTTGGACTTAAATTTCATCCTTCAGAACGGAAACACAGTCTTCCCTGTGACTTGGCTTATAATCAGTTTTGGATGTATTTGGTGAGTTTTGTCTGTTTCTAAGGGAAACTTTACCTACTCAAGCATTGTTGAAGAATACATGAAACCACAGATGGCTTATAATGCATATACAATCACCATTTTCACCTCTTCACTAAAGGTGCTAGCATAATTTGTCCTAAAATGCAATGAAGTCATAAAGTATCATTAAAATGTGACCTTTGGTTGAGCTACATGGTAGGCCAGACCCTTTTCGGAGGAGGTATTGCACAGATGATTCTAGTCAAAGCCATACTCACAATGTTAGTGACATCGGGAGAGGCTCCGTTCTGCAGCAGGAGGAGGACTATGTTCAAGTGGCCCATAAATGCAGCCACGTGTATTGGTGTGAGGCCCGACTGCGAAACAAAGCAAGAGCAGTTTTACTCCTCTGCACGGGCGTAGGGAAGGGGCTTCTTCGTTTAAACAAAACGTAAGTGACAGTGAGGCATGATAGGAGAGAGGAAAAAGGAAGCAAAAAGGGAGAGAGAGAAGGAATGTTTCTTCAGGACATGAAACATTTTTCTACCTCTGTTATAGCCTGGATTGAAGCCCCATATTTCACCAGGAGTTCCATGACTTTGATGCGATTTTTCTTGCAGGCAATGTGCAGTGGAGTAAAACCATTCTGTGCAAAAGACAGTCATGTTAGTTAAAAACATGCAGCTACACTTTCCACACAGCTCCATGCCGGCACACTGGGAGCAGAAGTGTTAGAGTACCAGAAGCAATTGTTCTTTAAGCACAATAGGTTATGAATTACAGACATCTCCCAGTAGTCTGAGGCAGAACAAAGCAGTGCCACTGCTTTCTTCTCAGGCAATGGAGAGAAATTGAACTTCCACCTCCAAAAACCAAATACAGACATGCCCGTCCTGACTTTCAAGTGTATGTGTGCGCGCATGTACGTATGTGGTTCCTAGGGTTGCACGCATGTATATGTAAGGATGACTTAAAGTGGTTCCCAAGATCGCCTAACACAAGGAAAAGATAAGAAATGATAGTGATCACTTTGAAATCAGTTAGTGTCTTCTGAAATGTATAAAGCATATTTTATACCTCTCTAGGAAAAGAACAGAGTACTTCTTCCAGATTCCACCTTATTTTATTTGTCTTTTCAGAATATCTTGCCATCTAAGCATCTATGTGTATTTATTTTTTTATTTATGCATCAATCTACAGTATACTGTATTCATGTTTGTGTGTGTGTGTGTGTGTGCGCACTCTGTGAAGTATCTTGAATAAACAACCACTACTTCAGCCATGGTTTCATGATACAAAGCGTTCACTCTTGAAGTATTTGTGGCCCCCCTTCCTTTATTCCTGCCCTGCCCAGTCATAAAGCATTGTAAGCAAGGTATCAGCCCTCGTGAGGATTAAAATTAAATGAGGCAGGGACAGGAATGAAAGGTGGGCGGGGAAGGGAACATCTTAAGATTGCAACCTAGCATTTTGTATAGTGAGACAATAGCTTCAGTGTTGTGCTTACCATTAGCACATATTCATTTCTTTGGAAATGCTTATTCAGTAAGATTGGGGCCCAAATCAAAGCATGTCTTCATACTCTATACTGTAATACATGTTTTGACTTCATGCTTTTTTGTGCACTATTATAGTTAATGCAGGTTAAGTGTGTGCCTAAAGCTAAGCAAACACATTATTCACCATATGTGAACATTTTAGTGAAAAGCACAGGTAACACTTTTAGATAATGTTGAAAAAATGCTGTATTTTCTAATGAAAAGGATCAGTATTGCTAAACAATCAACTAGCAGTTAACAGAACTTATCAGTGAAATCTTAGCTCATAGAAAGAGGTACGTGACAGATTATTCTACAGTCAGCTTCTGTTAAGGGAAATGTTAATTACTAGTCGATTTGAAGGTGCTTTAAAGCACACACAAATTGAAAAAGCTAAGAACTCATATAGTGCTTGTATCCCCAAATCATTTTGTAAACATTAACAATTACTTTTTTTAAATCTAGCTGTAAATGAATCATTTGTAAAATGTATTCCATCACAGGACTCTGCTGAATATTATTACTACTATTAGCCTTCTCCAATTTCTAAACAAGGAATCAAAACGATTAGATATTTTACCTCCCACACAACAGCTCTCAATATATTTCATAGGGAGTTTTACTGTTTCAGAAGCTTCCGTATTTTCACTTAGTTTTACTGCCTGAGTTGATTTAAGTTTGCCACTTCCATTTAAGCGAGGAACAGTTTGACAGGGGAGAGGAGAAGGCAGAAAAAACATATCACTAACCAAAATTACGAGCATCATTTAGTGTATCAAATACTATAAACAAGCCAGAGGCGACAAGTCCCTGATGGGAAAGGAAACAAGAGAGAGGAAAAAACCCAGTCTGGAGGGAAGAGAGCAGAGAGGCAGCGGCCCGAGGGTGTTCTCCTTTCATTTCAGATGTTTCTCTGGGAGGGAGAGAGGGGGAGGAACAGAAGGTATATTTCTGGTCATGGAAGGAAAGAAAGAAGATGTGGGGGCTAGCATATAATGTGTATGTGTGGGTAGCTGAGGAAAGTACAGCTAAAGATAATCAGAAGACTGGCAAGAAAAACAAGAAAGGATGAAAACAGCATCGAAAAAAGACCAACCAAGTGAACATGATGCCGAGAAAGACAAAACAAGAAAAGCATAAGAAGAGGAAGCAAGAGGGGTTACGGGATTTGCGGGTATAGAGAGGCCAAGAAAAACGAGAGGGCAGAAGAAAATTGCGACAATAAAAAGTCAGTCCCAAGGAAGTACGGGGTAGGGACAGCCTTCACAGAAAAACACAGGGTCACACTGAAGGCCAGAAGCTGGGGAAGACATCAGAGTGGCCTGCAGTGGAAGTTCTGTGGAGGCACGGAATACAGCAGGCAATGGCAGACTTCTTGCCATGCAGAAGTAGCTCAAGCGTTCACCGTCTCTTTCTTTCCCCCACTGAGTGTAATATATTCGTATTTTAACTTCTGTCCAGCTAACACTTCATGGGGACACTTCCTATTAGAGAAAATGGGAATCTTGCCTGGGTGTGGACAGATTAAAGACTCTTGAAAGCTTTATATGTTCCTGAAGCCAAATGTGACGTTTTTCTCTCAGTTAGGGGACAGTGGTCTGATCAGTGAGTGAAAGGAATCATACCTGTTTTCCTGTACGCATCAGAACAACTGTTTTTTGAAAAGGAAGAAAAGTGGCACCTAATAGAGGGGAATGTCATAATTTGATAAATGCAGAAATATTAGCTTTTTAATATATTTTCTCCATGCCAATTAACTTACTGATTCAGTTGAAAGCTTAGACATCTTTTGTGTATCAGATCACATAGTATGGCAAACTGAACTGCTAATTCAGTACAGTACCAATGCATACGTTAGCATCAGCTAGAAATGGCTCTGATTTTAGGAACTCTGTAGAGCTTCCAGACCTGATACTACAGCCACTTGCCATGGGACGTGGTCCATGACTAGGCCTAACGATACGAGAGACAATACCGGTAACCAGCAGGCGTGACAACCCCTGTTGTTACAACTGTTGAAGGTTGTTGGAGTTTGGTGACAGAGTTTTCACTTAGCTTTACTGGTAAGAGCTACTCATCTGCCCTGGATAGCTTTGTTACACGACACAGGTGGGACAGGTTTACCAGGGCACGAGCATTGGGATTTGCTCTCTTGTCCAGAAGGAGTTTGGTGACACGATAGTGGCCGCAGTGAGCGGCCACGTGGAGGGCGGTCAGGTAATCCAGCGTGACGTCATCCACGGGAGCTTTGTGCTGCAGAAGGTGTTTGACGCATTCCACGTGGTCCCCCTGGGCCGCCATGTGAAGTGGAGAGAGTCCATTCTGCGGCAAAAGGAAACAGAACAGTAACTTCTAGTTACTCTCACTGAGATCGTGGCACATATTCGAAGGGTGCCATCAGGAGTCTGCAGAGTACCCCCATGGCTGAAACAGAGCCGCATCCGAGCTACAGTCTGGAAGGAAAACTGAAAAAAGCTAGAGCCACCCCTCCCCTTCCAGCAAATACAGGCAAATTTAGAGGAACATCACACAATTAACTAAAAGCAGAATTTAATCAAAGCAAAAGAATCTAAGGGTCTTGCCCTCATGATTTAATAAAACACATCTTGACCTTAAAAGACAGTTCTGGGGATACTCAACATAATACTAAGGCATAGGTTGTACGTTAACTAGAGGAAAAGCACCTACTTACCCATCATTGTATTTATTAGGAAACCTATATTTTTTTTCCTTTAAGTGTTCAATGAAAAAACAAATTATATTGGCAAACCTGACCCCTGAGCTTCTGGGAAATGATACTTTCAACCACCACCATGGTTGGACCTTTTGTTCAAGGTCCACTTGAAGAGCTGTGGAAGCAGGAGTTTCATAGCCCCGTCTGGCTTTAATAGATCCTTTGTAAATATTGAAGTCCACGGAGGGTAGATAATTAGGAGGAAAGAGAATTTTTGCTATTAATATGTATAACAAGTTGTTTTCAGAAAAAAATAGTTTTAATATTTACATATTTGTCTGTCTCCAGTTTGGAACCACCAGATTCAGTTCAAAGTTAGAAGGGGAAGTTGCTTTTAAATCTAATCTCATTTTACATGCAATAAGGTACTTAAAAAGCACTGCGTGTTTAAAGATAGACTATAACATATAGACCTCAACAGGTAACTGACTTGGTGTGGTCAACCTGACTGTTTATTTGTCACCGGGAAGGAGGGAATTATTCACTGGACAGTTCTGCTCTGCTCAATCCTCAACGCAGTGGGGACGTCCAGATGCCGCCACAGCAATGCTGATATTTTGTCCTGACGGGCAACATCTGTCTTTGAATGGCAACATCTGGGAATCCTGCCTGAAGCGTGCACAATAGATGTGTCAGGGTCTGTTCTTCTGAGCCTCTACCTCTTAGTGAAGTGAGGGTGTTGACACATGAGGTTCACCTAACCACCTTCTCCCACCAAAGGAATCGGTGAAACTATAAGGAATACGTTCCCTACAATTCCCATCTCCCTGTGGATCCCTCCTGCGTAAACAGATGACCTGGACTACTTGGTGCTATCAAGGATGCATAGCTTGAGCACATCCTTATTTGATGTAGTTGATATGTTCGCAATCCAGTGATAAAACCTCCTGAAGACTATCAAGAGAAAATCTTGAGTCTCCAATAAGGATAACTCTGGGTCCTAATACCCTAATTGCCCTTGTTTTAAGCCATGTTTGAGGAAGCGGGGCCCAGTAAACAGTGCGATGCTCTGAAACTGGTATTTCAATTGTTTGTCCCTCCTCATCTTCCAGGGGACCTCAAGCATATCATTGCAATACTCTATTCCACCGTTTTCCAACTAATGACACCAGCTACCTTTGTCAGGCACTCTGAAATTTACTGATGTGAAGTGCTGCTCAGTGGGGTTTGCTGTGATACTACAAGCATCCTTCTCTCATTTGACCAAAGGGACAGCATTTGTAGGAAATGCATTAATCTCAGACGTGCGCTTTTCAGAACTCAGTAAGAACACACTGAAATCATCTTCCAAGTCTGAAATAGTCCAGGAAAACAATTAGGAGAAGCTGCAAGTCACAGGTCCTAGTTACCTTACACGAGGGATCGGAAAATATATACCAGGAATCATCTCTCAGGAATGACTGATCCAGCTTTCCCATCTCTGTGTCCTATGGTCTTAGGAAGCAACAAAAGTGAAGTGCTTGCAAAAGCACTGTATATCATGTGTTTAGTCTGGTATTATAGAGGGGGGCAAAGAAGTGTGTACTATTTCATATAGTCGGAAAGGATAGTCCCTAATTATGTAAGAAGATCCTTATTTTGGATCATTCTACCCATTAATACGTTTCCTTTGAGAGAACAGAAATGTTCCTGCCTTCTTCGTTGTCCTTTCAGTGACATGGAAAATTCTGTGGAAAGTTACCTAGAGCTGTTCATGTATTCTAATCAGACACACACCTTGGTCCGTGCAAGCAGCGGGGCACCTCGTTCCAGGAGCAGCTCCACAACTTGGTCATGTCCACTTCTTGCAGCGCAGTGGAGTGGGGTGAGACCATCCTTAAAGTAAAAGGAGGGAAACCAAATGAGCACATCCCCAACTGTCCGTCCTGGCACTCTGAGGAACACCCTTCCAGGAATGCAGCCCCACAAGCGTGTGAAAAAGCTCCTTTTTTTTTTTTGACTCCTAACTGAAGCTGTCTCCACAACGTGAAGTTTCATCCCTGTTCTTTCTTGCACCAGTAAAGCACATTCTAAGGTTACCGTTTCAGAGAGGAAGCCCACTGTGTGTTGAAATCTCTTATCAAAGAGGATAATGTGAGCATCCTTCTCCTCTGCATGGTTTTGAGATTGTCTTGCCTCTCCCTGGATAATGTGTGCTGGGCCAAGGATGCTCCGTTAATCAGCCCCTGCCCTTTGGATTGCTTTTGATGCAGGGTTGAAACAAGAAACATTCATACTAGAAAATTTCCTCTAGAATTTATTTGGGTTTTTTTTTTAAACAGGCAGCAGGAGAAAGGAGATTTTAAAACAGAGAAAAAGAGAAAGAGAGAAACAAACCGAACAAAACCTTTCATTTCTGAGACTGAGTGGTGAACAAAGAGCTAACAATCCTTTGCTAATACTGCTGTGAGACCACCAACTCCGCAATACTTTTTCCGTTGCAGAACACTACCCTATACCAAAAGACTTGTTCAGGCTACTCAGTAATGTTCACAGCAGTGGTAGCAAAAGATGTGTCAATGAAACATTTAGATAGGAGAATGCATTCTAGGAAATTCTGCTACAGTTTGGACTTTATGCATAAAAATACAGGAAATATGAGGCAAGAAATATGGTTGCAAAAGAATATTAGTGCTGAATGACAGAAAAAAGAAAATCTGTAAGATATAGAAACCCAAGTTTTCATCCCATCAGACCTCGATATTGTTCAAGCACGCGCTCAGAGAAGTCATCAATACTCATTCAACAGAGATAGGTTTATAAAGGTGAAATGGTAATAGTTTTTAATCTCAGGAAAAGCCTTCTCCCTTGAGACACACTGCTCATTGTAGATGAGGTAGATGCTATTATTCTAGGGTGCTTTCTGAAGAATCCAGTAACAGCATGATTAAACGATGAACACACTGGTCTCAGAGAGATTTATTACTTAGAGGTTAAAAAAAGATGAACACGCTGGTCTGAGAGAGATTTATTACTTAGAGGTTAAAAAAGTAGCAAAAATGCAAAAACATGGCCTTAAGTATGAGTTAGTGACCCTGCTTCATACTCAGATAGACTGTGTGCCTTGCTGGAGTTTGGAGGAAGTCTACATAGCTATATTTTTACTTCTGCTACTAATATTTTAAAATTAAAGTAGTTGTGGACTGCACAGCGCCATTGCAATTGCACCATCATTTTAGCTATGCAAACATAGCCCTGTAATGCTCTACAAAAGGTAGTTCCAAGAAGTAGATCTTCCCTCATCCTCAGTTTGGAAAGCACAGAGCACCTTGCTGAGTTAGCAGCGCAACAAAGCTCTGCTGCAGTGAGGAACTGAAGCCTGCAGGGAGGAATTCTTCTCCCTTACTTATCTACTGATTCCAGAGATTTTTCAGAAACATGGGAAGGGGTTAGGTGTGCCTTGACGCTCCCCATCTCAGAGGCAGAGGTATCATTAAATCCCACGGAAGCTTTGCAATGAAATTCAACCGATGCGAGATCAAACCCGCAAACAGAATTCAAGGCTGTTCAGCACCTGGCAGATTGGGTCAATGTAAAGGAACCGGGCGTAACTAGCTTATCTGGGTTTTTTTCTGCGCTGAAACTTCAGAGTCCTCTAAATCAAGTCTTTACATGTACAATGAGGTGTATTTTCATCTCGCTGCCAGAGGGATTCATACACATAATTCCCATTAGCATTACTAAGGTGAGAATATATCCCAAATGTATTTCTAGGAAAGGTATTTATTTGGCATTTTTTTCCAGTTTCTCGCCTTTTGTGCTCTACATTTTTAATCAATGCGGGAGGTTCGCTTTCCCTATCTGCATAGTGACCTTGATGTTATTCTATTTAATAGAACAGCAAAAGAAAGGTAGAATTGCGTGAACCCTTGAAAAAAACAGGACAAATCCCCAGAGGGAGAAAAAAGAAGAAAAATACAAGCTAAGAAACACATCAACTCCACAAGAAAGTCTAGCTAAAATAAAAATAAGAAGTAAATAATAAAAAAGCATAATTTCTCCTCTCTTCTTATCTATAATTCCCTCTAAAAGTAGAGATAAAAATGTGCTACCTATCCTATTCTATCCTGTCATAGCTTTTATAAATGCATCACCATTTACTGTCTGTGCACTTTCCAGTAGGTGCATGAAGCAATATGCTTTGCAGTCTTCCCATATAACCCTCTTCTTTTCCCTCTTTCTGCCCTGGGGAAAACAGCAAGTTTATTTTAAAATCATTGTATATTTAATACTTTAGATTCCATTTTTGCTTATATGTTTTCTTCAAAGATGAGGGAAATTGCCAAGAGAGAGCTGTTGTAGTAGAAGAATTAGTACATAATACAATGAGGACAAAATGACATTAGCCAACATCAAGAGACACACTGGTGTACCAATTAGTCCTTTTTTGCACCATTATCTATTTGCAATGAACCTCAGTGCTCTGAAATCTATTGCAGGAGTTTGCCTACGTACTTTTTTAATCACTCCATTGCTAATTGGTACACCATGTAAATCGAAGGACACTTGCTGACCAAGATATCAAACACATCATTTGACAGGACATACAACACTGGCTCGAAGAGACACAGGCTTTGAAGCACAGATAATGGATATCCCATAAACGCAAAGGCCGCCATGCCAGGAGACAAGAAATTCAGCAATTTTGTATTTTAAGAAGTCCAGTATTTATCTCCTCATCCCAAATAGTACATAGCGGAGATTTAAATGTTTTCACCTTCCAAGTGACATCCTGCACCTGGTGTTCTGTTGTTCCCGTATGTGGCACTCTCCTAGCTCAGCTTTGGGTCACTGTTAGAAATGCCACTACAATCCTTTCTGTATGTATGGAAGCCATGCAATTCCATCCCTCTTAATTTCCTCTTAAATGGCTCTCAAAATAGAAGGTAAACTTTTGCCTTTTTTTCCTTGAAAATCAATCGCTGGTCATTTTTTAACCTACAAAATTAATTCTGAATTCTGTGCATGACTCCTAACTACAGGGGTCAGGAAGATAAATTATTGGGTCATGTCACAGTGATTAAAATGCTTTACTTGAGCTTACTAGGGAGACTAAGATAAAAAGAAGCTGTGCTTACGAGAGATTCTTAATGGGAAATGGTATGGGCAGCATCTTAACAGGACAGTTGCGCACATTAAGTGCTCATTCGAACGAAGACTGATGACAGCACAGGAATATCAAAGGCCAAATTATCAAAGAATTCTGCTAAACTGCACCTGCATATTCTCATTTTTATATGGGTGAAATAAAATTTCAGTATTCTGATTGTTAGACGTGCAAAATTGTCTAAATTTTCTCGACAAATACATGCCCTTTCATTCGTTCATTTTTCATTACTACTAAACCTCATCTCTTTAAAAATGAACAAGGCAAGTCTCCCTCTTGCTCTAAGCTCTCAGAGTCTTGGCATAATTAAACACGCTCTGAAGTATTCCTCCAGCTCTGCCATTCAAAGTCCTAATTTTAAAAATACAGCAAAAAATATACCATGCATTTGCTTGAGTAATAAGGTATTAACTTAAATAATTCTAAATAACAGTCACTATTTATATAGCTTGCTTAGATAATCTGTACAACATCCTTTCCTGCTCCCTTGTAAAAATTATATGAATCCACTACATTTTTTTGCAGCAAGTATCTGCATTGTGATTAGATATTTATAATCTGACATTGCTTTAGGAATGGCAAAAACCGCCAATGAATTATCAGTGCTCTGTGCCTGTGTGAAGACTAGGAGAAAATGTCACAGCAGCATTACTGCAGGAAAACAACTCTGTAAACATAGCATAGTGCCAAGACAGGGTTAGGATCCGGCTACAATGGCTTCATGGTAGGAGACCCACTGTCGTGTGGAAATAGCAGACGGCCGTGCCGATTTTGTCAGGATGCATATATACAAAAGGAGACATTATTACAAATAAATCTCAATTTATTTGTTCCCAGAACATTTGTTCCCAGAATTTATTCTGGTTCCCAGAACGAGCGTAAAGGGTGTCTGAACCACATTCATCACAAAAAACCCAACCCAACCCAACCCAACCAACTCCGAGTTCCACCCCCCACAGCTTCCTTCCCTTTCTTTTCCCATTGGTATCACACATCTCCGTGACCGACCTTCCACTTCTTTCGGCTCCAGCTGAGCCTCCTTTCTTTTCTGTGGCCCTTCTCCAACCCGAATGGCATACCAGACTTTCTCCCCACCATTAGCACGTCTACTCCCCTCTCCAGCTCCAGCTGCCGCGCCTCCGAGTTCCACCCCCCACAGCTTGCTTCCCTTTCTTTTCCCATTGGTATCACACATCTCCGTGACCGACCTTCCACTTCTTTCGGCTCCAGCTGAGCCTCCTTTCTTTTCTGTGGCCCTTCTCCAACCCGAATGGCATACCAGACTTTCTCCCCACCATTAGCACGTCTACTCCCCTCTCCAGCTCCAGCTGCCGCGCTCCAGGCACACAACATGTTTACTTTCCCACACAATAAGCTTTCCATTCCAAGCCTAGATGCTCTGTTTCATTCCAGGGATTTTTTTCAACTGTAAATATTCTGGACAAGAGCCTGCAAGAGGAGTCTAAAGAAAAGTCCCAGAGCAAGAAAAATTTAATTTCAATGTTGGCAAGACTCAATAGAAAGAACACAAAACGTGTGACAACTTCAGCATCTGAGACAGGTGGACGTGGTCCTCCCCCCCTTCTAAGGGTGTTTGCATAGTCCCACAAAAATGGAAAGGCCTTTAAATAACACTGTATTTTAAAAGTAAAAAAGCATACAAAAACTGAAAAAGCCTCACGTTCTTGTGCTTTTTTTTTCTATACAATATATAGAGATGATAAAAACGGAAATATTGCAAAAACTGCATTCGTAAAGAATACTCCTAAAACCCTTTAATAGCCAGTAACATTTCAATATCCCGCATATCCTTACTGTTATTATTCCACTATATCAGAATATTTTTTTTTTAATAGAAATATACATATTTTGACCATGCTGAAATTGCTCTGCTTTTAAACGCTTAAAATAATTCTCCCCGTAATAATCCTTACTATGTTTCAGGAAGGCTGTAAATGCTTTCCTTCCCTCAAAGTGAGAACTGATAATTGCCACGTTACTCTTGACCACAACTTGCATCTGAAACCCAGCTCCACTGGTCTACCATCGTAAGTTATACAGGTCAGAAGTTCAGCTAAACTTTAAAATTTTAGACAAACGTATGTCACTGAAGCTCTTACTCAGGTAAATTTGTAGAGAATATAGGTTTGACTAAGATTTTAAGTATGAAATGTTTTAGCAGAAAAAATTTTACCTGTTAATTACTTAGCAAACAAAACTCCAGACAAGGCTTGTGTGTAAATAGAAGTAGCACAAACATAGATATAACCATCAGTACTAGTAGAAGTATTCTATTAATATCATCGGGAATGGAGTTTACATTTTTGCTTTAGATACAATGCAAAAAAGAAATGAAATTCCACATTTTAAAAACTTATTTAGTAGTTAGTTGAGAAAAATGGGCAAACTTGCCAAAAGAATTTAAGTAAAATATTATTTTAAAATACGTAAGTGTAGCAAGCAGATTTACTAGCAATTCTACATCTTTATACTCTAGCGAGAAATGCCATAAAATCTCAGCAAATACATTATGAAAGGTATAGAAAATAAAAATATGCAATTCCTGCAGTAAGCAGGGCTTTCCTCTGACATGCAACATTAACTATGGAACAGGAGGACACATGCGTAATTTACTCTCTTTGAAGAAAGTACATTTTAATTTAGTTTTTTTAGACAATACAGGGGCTCCTAACGGATCGTTCCAATGGAACATTTTCAAACCTAAAAAGATTTCACAGATTAACTCTGCAAAATTAAAGTACTGAGGCTCATCTAAAATCTGTTAAAGTAAGTTTTTGCATCTTAATTTATGCATCATCAGATGTCATGTAATAAAGCAAGTTAAAAACAAACTGAATGAAAGCAATGAGTACTTTTTTAACCAAAGAGCTTATTTTGATGCAGTACGGAGGACCAAAAATAAAAGCCCAAGCTATCCGGCAATGAAATATCCTAGTGCATTTAATTCCACTGTTTTTCAGTCAATCTGACCTACTGGGAGAATTCTGAGGTGCTCCGCAGAAGAAATGAAAAGGCGCATATGGAAAGGCAAGCATGTTAGTACCGAGGTGGAGGAGGTGAAAGCCTGTCCTTTAAAGTACAAAACACACGTATGCATGGCATGCAACACACAACCTACCTCTTCAATACCCTACATATCCACGGCCAGAACAAAGCACACAAGGCATGCGGACAAAGCAAAGGGAAAAGAAAAAGACACCGAGACGCTCTAAACAGCTGGCACGAAGACAAGATCACGCCACAGGGACACGGACAGCAAAACCAAAGCTCTGGAATCTTCCCCACTGCGAAGTACAAGCAGCCGACCGCCGCCGTGTGCCTTTGAGCAGGGAGAAGGCAGAAGATGAAAGCAAGAGGAAGCTGCCGAGCCTGTGCAAACTGGGATGTGGGTGCTTTAGGACACCTTTACGGATTTTCACCGATATCTTTGTGCTGACGGTTTTTGAGCTAACGTAGCAGCTGACAAAGGGCGGGAAGCCAAGACAATGAGAATCTAAAATTAGCACCTTCCACCTACGTTGGGCAAAGACCTGCTCCTTCAGTTTCATTCACAACTGCACGTCAATCCTTCCGGGTGAGCGGGGAAAGGAATACACCTTGACCTCTTAAAATCCAAGACGTCCTTTACAATCATCTGTGCCAACTGGTCTAAAACGAATATCTAAATACTGAGCAGGAAATAGGTGAATTCAACACTCTCATTCCACAGGCCAAACGGACCATTTCTGTATGACTATTGTGCTTAGGAGTACGGGGAGTACCCTGACTGCAGCGAATTATTACCGTTTCGTGCCTCTTTACCATGAGATTTTAGGCACCTACTGTGGAAAATTTGACCAGGGATGATTTACTGCTCACCTTCACAAGAGGCAGCATTTTCCATCATCAGTAATTTAAAACAAAACAAAAAAAAAAGAGCAAGAGAGACACCATTTCATAAATAATCACAAATCAAAATCATAATCACATACCGAGTTACACAATAATCACAATTGTTTTCCTAGCTTATGAAGCAACAACTGGTTGATGTAATTAATACCAAAGTAACTGCAGAGGTTGAATCAACCACAAGGGTAGTTGACTGCAATATCCTCTACCTTCCTCTACCTTTCTACCTTATTAAACAAAACCTCTTATGTCCACCTCTAAACTCTGTGTACTAAAACACCCTCTATTACTTGGAGATATTATTTTGCAGCTCAGTGCTTAAAAACCAGCAGCTTTCAAGAACGAGTCCTGTGCAGTTCAGTTTGCATAAATGACCACGTTTTCCTAGGTGATTCCAAAATCCCATTTGAAATTATTAACCCTGCCCGTACAAATCGATGGGGTTTTCTTTTGTCCTGAACGACTGCAAAATCTCCCATAAATAAAAAGTGACTGCCAGCCCACTGCAGCAGTTTTGACGAGGCACACTATGACTGGCACAGATATTTAGGAGTCAGGGGACGGAAAGGCTGAGCTGAGTCCAGACCCTCCAATTCCCATTGCCGTGCAGCACGCGTGTTCTTGTGTCACATGAAGTTGGACCAACTTTCCTTAAAAAGATGAGTTTCATCAGCTTTTTCTTCTAAGATGTAGGTAGATTATACAGCAGACTAAAGGAAATAGTATTTCTGCCTCCTACTATCACCAATACCTGCCATTCTTTAGTCGGATACCATAGAAAACAGTCTACATAAAACAAATAACAATCTGAAAGCTAAAGGTAGGATTCTGAATTTAAAAAAAAAAAAAAAGTACAAAAATATTTCTTGATAAATTATTTTGGGAGTCACAATTTAAATTTGGTCCAAGATTCAAAAAGAGTACAGTCGTGAGGAGGCAACGTTTAACATTTTTGGAGCTGTGTTCAGCTGAACTTTTTTTTTTTTTTTTGAGTCATTTGTAACAGCCGCATCTAATGTCTCACTTTAAGAACAGAGAACAAGACACAATTACTGACGCTGAATTCCTAGCTATGAATCTTGGTGTTCCCAGTCTGTGGCTTAAAAAAAAAAAAAAAACAAACCCAAAAACAAGCAAGCAAAAAATCCCAATCCATTCCCAAGAAGGGACAACATCATATTCAGGGAATAGAAAGACTCACCCTGGTTTTGGCATCGATCTGCCCTCCGCGATCCAACAAGAGCTTCACCATGTTTGTGTTTCCCCTTTTGGAAGCCACATGCAGTGGGGTGATTCCATTCTACACCATGAAAAGAACAAACAATGAGCATGATGGATTTGAAGGTGTACAATGGTGGTGAATTTGTGTTCGGATCACAAAAAATGAGACCATCACATTGTAGAGAATAAACAAAAACGTACTTGAGCATCAGAGCTAGGCACACACCATAAAAGCTAGAGTTAGTAATTCCTTTCTAAGCAAGAATCTTTATTCGTTGGTTGGGGGTTTTTAATAAACGAAGAAGCGCATCTGCCAAAGCAGCAAACATCACAGTCCCAGAGTCAGACGAAGAAACAAAACATATATCAGAGTCCCAATGAGTCAATATTCACAAAACACCGATGCATTTAAATCACTGCAACATACACAGAGTACACAAACGCGTGACTCCTGCACAAAGGAACCTTCTTAGTGTAATGCCAATAGCGTAAAGGAGTAGGTCCCGTTTAGGCTGAAAAATCCTTGCAAACGCTTCGGGTGAGGAAAGAGGTAATATTTGCAGCTCTTCCAGACTGGCAACAGGAGAAAGTCAGTCTGAAAGGCAGAACCCTAAAGCAATTCAAAGTGTGTCCGGCAAAATTAAACAGAAAACTTGTGATTCGGTAGCGTGAGGTACAGATTACCAGAGGTTTTCAAGGTGCCAGATGCCGTGCTTCAAACTACGTAACGCACAACAGCAAAGAGACTATATTATGTAGCTCTGCAGCTGTTTACCATAAAAGAGTAGTCGTGACTGTACAAGTACTTCTATTATTGCATTTATAGAATGGCAATATACCTCACTTTGCTTTTTCAATATATGTTTATATGTGAAAATATCAAATTAAAGTAGTATAGTAAATACCGAAAAAGCCAATAAATCCTACATATATTTCTGGAGCATGTCTAACTGACAGAAAAGCTGAAGTGAGTTGACACATTATGAGAATAACAGCTTTCTGGAGCTAGTCAAAGGAGCCTGCTTCCTTCAGCTGGGAATACTGGTCCCTACTCAACTCCCAAGGACTCTCTGGTGCACTGCACGGAGGCAACCTTTAAGAATCACTACCAAAAAGACATCTTTGAGCACAACAGATTTTCAGCATTACTTTCGCTCCCCGCTTACTCTTGACCAAGAACTGCACAAAGAAACACTCCCGCTTTTGTAGGCCATTACCACTAAGAAGAGAAAGAAATTCCTCCGTACCCTTGCCGTGAAATCGACTGCAGCTCCTCGGTTTAGCAGAAGCGTTGCCACATTGACATTTCCATAGTGCGCGGCTATGTGCAAAGGTGTAAAGCCACTCTACAAAGGGAAACAGCCCTTATTATAGAAATCATTTTATACAAGATAATCGACTTAACTAGAACTTGACTTTAAAAGCTGCCGGCAAACGAATGTACCGGGTCGATTTGATCCAGTTCACCTATGAGATAGCGCAGCCTTTCAGGCAGAGAGTGCAGTTTTCACAGGAGAGGTTATCGTTCTTTCATTCTCCGAATCAGTGGCCAATAAGAAGAGTAGCTTCCATCATAGAAAATATTTATGTATTAGCCATTCTTAAAGAAAATAAAGGAAGTTTCCTTATTACAATTTGGAAGCAACATGGGTCTTTTGGGCTGCATCTGTTTACTGGTTTTGGATAAATGACCACAAAAGTTGTTGGACTCTTATTTTACTGCTCTTAGAACTAGAAATATTGACAACATACTTCCTTTTTTTTGTTTGTTTTTTGAAAAAACAGCAGTTACTCAATCTGTAACCCGAGAATTTGGTGTACATGAGAAACTACTTAGTAGCATAGTATAAGAATCATAATTATTTATATTTATATACAATTTGGATCTCAAAGGATTGAAGAAACTTTGCCATCTATACATCAGAAAAAACACCATTTATTTATTGTCTCTTGAACACTAGGAGACGAAACCTGCTTCAGCTACGAGATATAGAATTGCTTGACAACAACATAAAAAAGATTAATTTTTCAGAAACTAGGACACAGAGCAAGCTTTTAGTCTCATAAGTAATTCAAGTCGAAAGGGCCTTGGTTTTGAGGTTTCCCTGAAGAGCTTTACACTGATTTGATCAGAGCTTTCTGTTAGCTATGGAAAGAGAGAAATACTTTTGGCTTCCAGAGTATACTGTATTTTCAACTAGGTTTCATTTCTTTCAGTGTGCAAATCATCATTTTAAACTATTCACGGAATAAAGAAACGTAGGCAGATATTGCACTCCGAAATCAACTTTACTCCCAAAAGATAAAGCAACCAGCCCTTTATTTTACCCTAATTCCATTTACTTCCTTGTCAGCCCACAGGTGATCCTGGTCAAAGTACAGTCAAACACTCATTAAATTCATAGTCTTCCTGCTGGGATAAATTACCAGGGCAGCGTCTACTGAGGATATTAGGCACACAAATACAATACTGCGTTAAGCTATAGATTGAATGCATATTGCATTAACAGCTACCTTCCCGTGGACACGTGTTTGCCTGGTGACAAACGCGAGGTATGAGAAGTAGCGTAACCCCCTTCACGTTTATCACGGTGAAGAACATGCCCACGGGCAGATGCCAGAGAGAAGCCGTCACCCTTCCAATTCCCCTCGCCGGCTGCCCCGTGGCAACTTGCTCACGTGCGCACGCGCCGAGCGTGAAGCGCTCTCACGCGGGTGCTCGCGTTCAAAATTCATCCCCTCCTCTAGCAGAGAAACTCCGTTATTCAAAAGCCGGCATTCAAATAATGACCGCATTCTTGGAAATAATTCTTTTTCCTCAACGTGACAATAATCTTTAGGGGAGAAATCACAGTTCTAGCCAATCAGACCCAGGATTTTTAGTGGAAGTGCTTGGAGAGTTGGTGTTGCCAGAATCCGTATGAAAAAAGTAGTATTATCTGCTGCAGGTAAGTTCTGATTATGTGCTATCCTTTAAGGGCTTTTCAAAACTTCATGGAAAAGATCGTAATAAGAACAATGGTGAAAATAAGCAGATGCTCTGAACAAGTTTTTACCTTAGAGGATTTGATTATATTTATTATTGTAAAAGAAGGAAAACGAATTTTACCATTATTCTGGCTGAGCCAGACACCTTAATTTAGTTATGCCAGGTGAGTGCATTTTCATAATTAATGAAACTGAGCTAGAAAAGCATCTTTATCCTCTTAGCTCCATTACTCGCTTCAGACTTCTTTGAACCGATGCGAATACTCAAAAGTTTACTTCAACAGTGACACAAATAAAAAAATCTAAGACCAAGGATGAATAAAAACAGGTTTGCTGAGTCACAGATTTCGATGTATTAAAAAGAGTCTTCTCTTCGCTTTTAATGCTAAATAATAAAGAAATATTGCCACAGAGCAGAGAAAATAATTATAACAGAAAGAGTAATTAAAAATTTTTTATCTCGGTACCTCAGTCGTCCTATTCACCATCATCTGATGCAGCATGGTTTGGGAAAAAGAGGAACAATATTAAAAGACTGGCCGCAAAACGAAGAACTATGTTGCTTTTTGAAATGAGTTATGCTGTTAATTATGGGAAAAGCCATTCAAGCATGCATTAACTTTAAATACAACCCATGTTCCCATGGGCAATAAACCAGTATCCTATTTAACAGGGAAGCAGCGATTCCGCTTCCATTCCAGCATCTTCTGGTTTACAAATAATGACAGAAAGCTGGTTACCAAAGAAACAGGAGATACAACTAAAAAGCAGAAAAACGAGTAGTTTGTAATTACTGCGTAGCTAAACACTGCAAAAGTAGGTACGTTACTGGTGATACCGGTCCAGCAACTTGTCTTTCCCCACAGAAGAAAATTACCTTTAACTGTTAAGACGAAGGAAGTAAAGTTTGCTGCCCATGGGCACTCAGCCGCGTGATACCGTTACCTCTACGGCAGCATCGCGTTACCTTGGACTGCACGTCGGCATTGTGGTCGTTCTGCAGCAAGAGCGCCGCCGATTTGGTGTCGTCTTTTCTAGCGGCGATATGCAGAGCCGGTAATCTCACTTTTCCCTTGGTGTCATTTTCCAGGAGGATGGCCACCGCCTGGTTGTGTCCTTGTTGCAGTGCAACAGCTAGAGGAGTGAAACCGTCCTGGTAGAGAAGAAAAGAAGGTGCGCTCGGTAAGCTGAAGGACGTAGAGCTCTTCAGTGATTTGCACAGCGCCGTTCACACACAGACATTTGATAAGCGCGTTACCAGCCGTTTTCTACCTCTGCAATCCCGTCTCCAGTGAAATGACATCGGAGGCACGGCATTTTAACCCAGATACGACTTCAAACACGTCAAAAGCACACTTTTTTCACTCCAAAGTAGTCTTTTTTCAAGTCAAGTACAAGCAAAGGATCCTTCTACAGTATCTCTCTTAATTACTTCTCACCTTAAAATGGGCCACAGAGCATATTTTTAGCAATATTTTGGTAAGGATTAGTGAGCACTGAACAAAGTAGTTGCGAAAAATATACAGGGAACTTGTTTCTGAATATCTCGCATCTCTGCAAAAAGAAAGCGTATCTTCAGGTGCATTTGCTGCTGTTTCCCATTCCAAGTTACGCATAGACTATGACTCAAGGAAGTCAGATCACCTTTAGGGATTTATTCTAACCTGAAGCAGGAAAACATTAGATAATTTGTACTTTTTGGAAGAATAAAGCCAGAAAAATCTCTCTGCTTCTCCTTCATAGTTTTAGCTTTGTTTTAAAATTGCTTTCAAATTGTCTTGCTCCTCCACACATGCCCCGGATTGCCAATGCTTTAAAATGTGTCACAGGATCGCAACTTGCTGTCTCAGCTGAAGCACTGCCTGCTCCCATCCCTTTTATTCTGACCGCAAAACTGAATCTAGCGGAAGTCTCGCACGCTGCCCAAGCGCATACGTGCTGTAACCGCATGCCAGACCGGAGGGCAGCTGAACCACGAGGAACGGAGCAGCTCTTTAACTGAGTCTGAGACCGAGGCATGGCGAAGAGCAGTGAAAGAAAAGGGAAGGGAATAAAACAAGGTCTTCTATGCCTAGGTCGGAAGGAACAACTGAAGAGTTGATTATATCCAGAAAGCGAAAAAACTGATTTAGATGCATTGTAAAAGGCATAGGAACGAGACAGAATTGATTTGGAATAGGAATATGGAAAGTTGATAAAATAACAAAGGACAAGTTAAAAAGGAATGAGAGCTAACATATACTGAAAGAAACATTTGAAGAATTGCCAAAGCAATTTTTCCCCTTAGTAACCTAATAACGTTCACTCCCTTTTGCGTAGAACTGTGGGTAGGTGCGTTGTAACAGCGATACTACTATGGTTTCTTTCTGTAATAGAGATTAAATTCTGTACCGTGAATTAAAAAAGGGTGAACAGCTGATGAAACAGCTGAACTGTAAAGATAATTCTGAGATTGGGGCTACATTAGGTGTTGAAATGGCTTAATGCATTTGCCTTTCGCCTCTGGGAACATGAGAACAAATCCTGGATTAGAGGCCCTGTGAAACCGAGCTCATCCTTGCTCTCATTTTGTATATATACGTACATAAGCGTTAGAGGAAATATATCCAAAGACAGTGCAAGTTTCAAAGCTTCAAAGACAAGATCATCCACTTGATTTGCACCACTTTACCTTCCGTTCCTCTCTAAAAGGACACAACTCTCTCTGCATTCCCTCTCCTATTGCTGCTGGAAAGCATGGCTGACCGGAGCTCGGAGAAAGCATTTCATTTCCCCACGTCCCCACATAAGGACAGCCAAACTTTGATGCCAAACAGAAGGTCCTTCTCCACGTATTTTGGTGGCTGCCATCCCACCTTATTTAATATACCGTTTCTTCGTTCTGTTCATGAGACTAACTGGGCATGTGTGAAAGCGGACAGTGTCTCAGGCCACCCTTCAGCAATGCCCGAATCACCGAAACCATCACCTCAGCAAGACCTGAACCCAAAACTTCTCTAGTTAAGCGATAAGGAGGTGGACAGCCTTTACTTTTCAAGCTACAAAAGTGAGAACCGACCTGATGGCAGAAGACAGACTCGGACTCGGGTTCAGAGTGGGAAGCATTTGATTTTTTTTTTTTCCCTGCTGCCTTTTTTTTTAAAAAAAAAAAAAATAAAAAAATCAGACTATACTGTGAGTTCCAGCGATGCCTGGATGTCTGTGTTCAAGCAGAGGCCACGTTAATTATAACCGTCTCGGCTTCACAGTTCCTGTAAACTAAGGGACGCATTTCCAGTGCACCCGATCGCCACAGCCAGTGCAAGTGACTGGGAGGAAGGCTGCGGGCAGGTGGCTGCGGGCTGTAGCCATGCCGGGCTCCTGGAGAGCCACCGAGCCACTCGGCTCCCTCACAAGGAGCGTGTTTCTGCCACGTTGCCTGGCAATCACACGGGATTTCATATTTCAGAAAGCTGCCGTGTAACGTGATCGCCGTATATGCAGGCCACGAGAGGATTATTTTCGGAGCTGTCATCAAGCGGTACAGTATCCACTGAGGGAAGGGACAGTAAAGCAGCTGTTAACACTAGCAGTTCGGTTTAAAGGAAAGGAGAGCGAGCATAACTGCACCATCATTTCAAATTCATCCGTCTGTGAAGGCAATCCGGAACGGGTGAGTTTCTGTACAGACTAGGGAAAAGTAACAAACACGAGCAAAAGCTGCAGAAGGATGGTATGAATTGCTAGGTTCCGGATTTAACTGCAGTGCTGTAAACCTGCAGTAACTTCAGTGCAAGCCAGGCAGACACCGAAGAAAGACAGACGAGATTCCATCTCCAGAGGAACTAAATCATAAAAAAGTCCTTCCGCACATGAGAGGGTTTGAGGGCAATGGGAAAACCTCCTAGGTCAGGAGGACTGTGCTCATTCGGTTTCCTCCGAATGTCCTCTTTCCTCCGAATGTTCTTTTATTCCCAGCCCAGGGGACGAGCGAACGGGCTCTATGCCGCAAAGCATGTTGCCTTCGTGTCTGTTCGATGGGTGTGGATGTGCCGTGTGAAGGAGCAAGAGGAAAGTTCCTCTCCTGTCAGAGCTTTTGCTCGTGTTTATTACTTTTCCCTAGTCTGTACAGAAACTCACCCATTCCGGATTGTTTTTATACCATTTTACGCTATACACAGAGACCCTTCTGGACACAGTCCTCACAGTCCGAATTATGGTATTCACGTTACGTTCCACACACTTTTCAGCTGGCTGAGGAAGAAGTTGAAGCAAGCCTCCAAGCCACCTTCCCCAGAAGACCCTTTATACAGCCAAGCGTGGCAGATACTTGCTATAATAATCTATGCGCCGATTTTTGCCCAGATCTTACAGTGCAAATGAAAAAGCAGCACAAAGGTTGCTCAGGTGATGGCACTCCTCGATGCTTGAGTTCTCGGGGGCTTTGTCGGAGACGTAAATCTGTTCAAATGAAACGCTGTACCATTTAGCCTACGATCGAGCTGCTATTCACTCCATTCCCCTCGACAATACCACCTTGGCCCCCTGTAATTTCTACAGCCCTAGGGACCTCTCTTCAAAGTTTTATTTCATTTTACAGAAAATTCTCCAGGAAGCTGATAAGAGAAATGGGCACAAACTGATGGCGAAAATCCTGGGCTCACTAAAGTCAGTGGAAATTTTGCTGTCAAATGGATCGGGCTGGATTTCATCCCTTGAATTTTTACCGCTTCCAGAACAGTTCACCCTCGTCTTCTGTGCGTGTAGAAAAAAAGGATAAGATTCATAAACACACCTCATTGAAATGAGAGTGTGAAAGTTCTCAAAATACTCCGTTTGAAAAAATCTTCTGCCTTTAAGCGATCTGAATAGAAAGGCAAAGGAAAATAAGAGCGTGTGTAAAAAGAAGAACAATATACCTCACCTCGGTAGCTGTGCTTTGGTTGGCTCCATTCTCCAGGAGATATTTCACCACTTCAATGTGGTTCTCTTGAGCTGCCATATATAAAGGAGTAAAGCCATTCTAGGAAGAACACACGAGAAAATATTGTAATGAGGAAATGGAATATACCAACAATAATGAACCCCAAATAAATATACCGATAAAAAAATCCTTTTGTCCTTTTTTAACTGAAATGTTTTAAGTATGTAAGCAGAACAACTTTATATTTTTTAACTTAATACGGTAACGTTTAATATCATTTAAACCCGCAAAACTCTACATGCTTTTACATTCATTTTCTTTTGACACATGTTTTAGGGAAGCAACGGACGCACTAATTATTAATACAGCTATTCCTTGCTGACAATGCTCAGGGACTACAAAGCTGGCAATGAATTTTTATGAAAGCTGACAGGAAAGCAAGGGTTTCCTCCATTTATTACCTTAACTTAACCAAAGACATCATCCCCTGGAGACCATAAAGTCCGTACCTCATGACAAGCTGGGTAGAGATGACAAAGGCTTAACAGACTACATTAAATTTTGTAACGCATAAAACATTGCAAATCATCAAACATAAAGGAACTCGACCTTGCAAAGCAGCAACTGCATTTCTGAGCATATGGTAAGTTCATCTATCATTTAATTATAAATATCCATGAAAATGTCCTAGAGTCCTTAAAAGAATCTGCTCTGGATAATACAGTAATTTTAAAAAATTCTTCTAAGTTAATCAAACTAAAGGCAAGTTCATTAGAAACATAAGGCCTTTCTTCCCATTAGAATACTCCAATGCAAACAATTTTAATTAATTAGCTACAAAATCCTTATGAAAGCAAGGCATGGAAGTGAGCTGTCTGCCTGATTAATAACTTTCCTCGAAGAGTTTTTAAGATTGTTAAAAAGGCCTTAGAAAATTCTTTACTACTCTGTAGATTACCATGTAATCTATAATCACCATAATCACCTATATTTCTGAAAACATTCTTCTGTCTTGGAATGGCACTTCTAGCTGGGATATAAACCACAAACCAGACTTCAAACATACAATTTTTTCTTTATCTTGTGTGCTGTCACACTGAATGATAAGCTTGTGCATTTACACAAGCGGTCAGAATTAGTGCAAATACTGTGATAACTAAGAACATGGATTTCGGAGAAGCCAATATTATTCTTTCTGGCCAACTTGCTGTGGAAACATTCCAGTAATTTCCTAATGAAATGAAATCTCATTTTTCAGCCACTAGATAATACAGTTGATTGTCGAACTGATGTCTTTACAATCCCCCTCCGCACTTACAAACGTAGACGATTGCTCAGACAATAAATGTCATTTATTGTTGTGTATATCATATGATATATGTCATATATGTTGAGGTAAGTCTTTTAATACTGCTTTGCATAATATTCCAGCACATCCATCAACAATCTTGGGACATATAATTAAAAAATGGCACCCAGAGAACAGTTAACAGCAGTTCAATGCCGAAACCGTGGGCTGTATTTTGAGTGGCTTTGCATCGGGGTCTGTCTTTGGCAGGTATTATCCAATGCTCCCAGTAACGACTCGAAGGATGGAATAGAGTGCTCTTATTGCAGTTACAGACAGCATGAACAAGGTGGTCTGCAAGTACACCACACAACAGGATCATAATTTGAAAGCTTCCTGTTACCCTGGAGAAAAGCGCTGGAAACGTAGTTTCATGAGGACAAATACAAGTTTCTCCACTACTGCAGGAAAAACAAACTATGCAAACAGGGAATGACGAGTCAGAGAAGAATTCTGCAGAAGAGGACCTGAAGGTCACAGCGGTCTACCAGAGGGCCACTGGTCAATGAGCTCATTCGGCTGCAATAAAGACAATCCTTGCACTGGCGTAAAAATATACCTCCCTGGGGAAGCTATTTTTCTTTGAGAAAAGCCTAGTAATCGGTGGTGTTCTGTCTGGAAAGGGAAAACTGAAGAAAAACAAGATAACAGACTAAAATAAATAGAAAAAGCGCATAATTTATTAAGGTTGCTGGCGGGAAAATTCAGGTTGGACATCAAGAGAAGCCTCTTAACAGTAAGGTCAGTCTGCGTTGCGTTTTGACGGGCAGCTTCCCTCCTCCCAAATCACTGCTAAAACCAGGCAGCAAAGCGGAAGCACAAGCTAGGAAAAAGAAAAGAGATCCCACCACAGCGTAAAACGAAGGAACGCTGTTCAGCGTGTCGTTAGGAGGGTGCGGAAGGGCAGGGGATTGCCAGGCAGAGGGACTGAGCTGCAGGGGGAATTACAAAGAGATTGGTTTCTTTTCGATTGCGCTTGTAGAGAATAGCACAGAGAAAACTGCAGGTAACGAGTTTTCCTTCCCACTCCGGAAAGCAACAAAATGGCAACCTATTAGGTGTAACTAATAGTAATTTTCATCCATATTTTAACATTAAAGTCTAATGTAGCAGTTTTTAAATGATAATACGTGCCATGTGTAAAATCCTTCTAGCACTGAATATTATATGGATGAATACAAGGATCACACCAACTAATACAAATTTGGGGAATATGAGAATTTTCAAGCTGGAGTAAATCAATTTGCTTAAAAGCTTTGAAGAATCTTTTTTTTTTTTTTTTTTAATCAACTCAAGTCCCTAGTTCTGGAACAGGATTAAGACAATAAATCCTGGATTAGGAGACCATAAACAATACACATATGACTTCATGACCATTTTGTACCAAGAAGTACTAAATGCTTTTCCACACAGAGATCCAGAAGAGTGCCCATTATATCAAGGATATCCTCCTCACGTGCTATAATCATACCTGAAACTACAGCAATCGGGGGTAAGGGAATTCTTGCACACAAAATCAGAGCCTTTTTTTTTTTTTTTCTTCAAGCTTTATTTATATCTTAAAACTGCTGTACAAGAAGAACTGGTTTCGGAGCTGCTAACTGCAGTGTTCCCGACCTCAACGCTTCTGGCTCTTGGCCGGAAAACATCTATTTTAGGATTCCCAATATCACCGCGCTCCTTGGCAGAGCTCTGCCTGGGGGGTTACCTGGTAGCCCTGCTGGAGCTCCTCCTTCTCCTTTGGCCACCGGACCCCAGGACGTCCATGCCTCCTCCCATCCTGCAGAGTTTCTATGATGTGTCTGTCTGTCTGTCTCCTATACAGCAAGTTTCTGCCCCTCTCAGCCAGTCCTACAGTTAAGTGGAAATGCCCACAACAGCAGCATATCCTCCCCTTCGCTTCCTTTACTTCTGTTAATCCAAAAATCCCCTTCCCAGTTTCTCATCTTTTGGTTTCAAAGAGCTATATGTCAATACTTGGTTTCTCTGTTGCGCTTCTAGAGAGATTTCACAGCTCAAGATCCCAGATCTCTGCAAATGAAGAAAACACGTTTTCCCTAGACTTTTGTTTTACTACCCAAAGTGTCTTCTACTGAATCCACGACATTCTAGTTAATGATTCTCCATGGACGTATTGCAAAGGAGGCTGACCTCTCCTCCCCTTGTTTTAGCATGTGGAATGGGATACAGACGGTTTATTGGGCCAGGGGTGGGGAATCTTTATTTCAATACATTTTTCTTCAGCTTATGATCCCATACTGTATAAACACAGTCTAGAATTAAAGTAAAAATACTGACTGTGGTGTATAAAAGGGACCTGGAAAAGGAGAAATGCTCTTTATTTTGCTTCTTCTGAAAGCCCGGCTGTGTAATTATGTTACGTATTATGTTTAGATTTTGTGCATCATCTGAAAAATAGAAATTAATTTTGTAATGATATATAACATTCATTTTCAAACAATGATTTCATCAGAGTATTTGTAGTGAGGACAGAGTACTCGGATTTCATTATCGTTACAAATGTACACTGCAAGATGTTTACTGCTATAATATAAAGTTATAATGAGAAATTAACGCTAAACAAATAGAGTATATTTCATACTCCATTCTTGCTACTACATTCACTGATTTACTTGCTAATTTGAGAAAATGAGTAGCTCTCAATGATTCTTCAAGCTATTAATGCAAATTGGCAAGTCTATATATGACTCAGAATTCGAATCATGAAATTTTGCCCAAGCCCTAATGAAGAACACAGTTTGGAGAAGCAGAGGGATTATTAGAGCATTTAGAAAACCATACAAACAGTTATACAGCTTGGTTGAGCTTTAGTTTATGGCAGGCTTTCAAGGAACCGTACCCTTGCACGCAGTTCCAAATGATCAGAAGCACACATCTTCCAAACTCTGATCAGTAGCCCGTGCGTCTCAATGACCAGCCTACCCATGCTTGTCCGTGACGATGTGGCCTTTAGTCCTAGTCTATACCTATAGTATCTATATACCATATATTCATATATATCTCTCCCTAGTCATACTGATAAGGAAAAGAGAGAAAATAGAGATATGTTATCTCTTCCCTCAGTTTGCCTCTTTTAAGATGACACACAAGAGTTAGGAACGTATCCTGTGATTAAACGGCTAATGTAAACCCAGACGAACATACCTATTTTATTTTAAGGGCCTCCAGAACTGTTTAAGACTGTATTAGAAGATCACTGAGATTACCAGGGAAGACGAGACAACCGACATCTAATGCAATTGTTTACATACAGCAAACGCTCATTCCTACTTACTCTTCAAGATGTAATTACCAGTCAGAAGGTCAACACAATCAGCGGATTGCCCGACCCAGACCGGTTGCCTCCTGTGCCTCTCCATCTCACTGCATAGGTTTTTGGTTTGGCGTTTTGGTAGCCTTCTCCCCCCAGTTTTGCCCACATAAAAGCTCGGTTTCCTTTGGGACGCTCTAGAGCTTCCTTCATAGGACCCAGCACCTAACATAACCTAAGAGAAGCCTTTGTGAAATTGCCCTACCTTCCTCCCGGTGCCTCCTTGTCTTTCTGCTCGTTAGACTTTAAGCCAGACCCAAAAAGGAACCGATATTGGCACAAAGGACGAGACAAGAATGAGACAAGGGTGAGACAAGCTCAGATTACTCATGAAACAGCTCACACAGATTATAAAATCTTCTGATATATGTGTTAATATATCATTTTACGCAGTAAGATCCTGATCATCTCCGGGGCTTT